TTATATTCTAATGACTTTTTTTACCCCTCATTATGTCTGTTTTAACACAGGCATGTCTAGAGCTGTGATTCTATGCCTTTCCCACCATTGTACCTTAGTTGTATTGGGACAGATGAGTTGTCTCTTTTGTTTGATAGATTCAGACACACATGTTATGCCCCAGATTCCCGTACTTAGCACTACCCTCCAAGAGTCTCATCATCTGCAGGTGGACTTGATTTAAATAATGAGATGTGAATTTGAGATTTTGAGAGGAGGAAATATATTTTGGTTAATGTAGGAACATGAAACAATGGGGGCCAGAGGGCAAACTATGGCAGCCAGAATGGTATTGGGACTCCACAATCCTCACCTTCTGGTCATCTTGTCTTTGTGCACGCCTGTCCTGAAGTGTGGGCAGGCCTTGTGATTTGATTCCAAGAGAAGGATTATGACAAAGGTGCTGGGGACTCACTTCAGTAATTACACCACATTACATGTCAAAGCTAACACTACCCTGACAGCAGAACATTATACAAGACATCACTTTGCTTTCATATATGCTCTTGCTACCTTGTTTGTCTTGGAGAAATCTGCCATGCTTTGGCCAATGAAGAGGGCAATGTAGCATGAAATTGCAGGCTGTGTCTAGGTATTGAGGTTAGCCTCTAAGCAACAGTCAGGGGGAAAAATTCTAAGTCCTACAAACAAAAGGAAATGAATTCTGCCAAATAAACTGAGTGAGCTTGAAAGCAGGATGTTCTTGGTCACTTATAGTTTCCAGTTCATCATGCAATGAGCTTAAACTTTGTCTCATCCACCTCCGAAATGAAAAGAGCTGAGTAAGCTGAAAGTTTAAAACCCCTCTTAGATAATCAGACAATTGAGGTCACAGTGCTAACTACTGCCTCTGAAAATGGAGAGATAAACTGGAAGGTACAGGGAATCACAGTTCACTGGTGCAGAAGTCAATGTTGGAGCTGTAACAGAGGCATCGCCATAAAAGGTGAGGTTCCATATTCTCCGCCCTACCTAATGAAGGACAGAGCTGAGTGGCCAGATGAAGCTATATAACATGGAAGACACGAGGAAGTCAGAAGGAGAGAGACACAGGAGGGAGATAGATGAAGAAAAAGGGCCCACTTGCTTTTCAACTTTGCACTTGTGCCAGGGACTTGGGGGACTTGGAGGAGAGAGTGTCGAGACATGTAGAGCCACTTGAAGAAACACTTGTGGGGAGGCTGACATGTGGGGAGCCTTTACTGTGATTTGTTCTTTAATTTTGCTCATTTTGTCCCAGATTTATCTGGCCCCTTTTGCCCCTATCCTGTAAGTGCCTGCCAGAAGGTACCTTAGACTTGAGGCAAGCTTTTGGGCCTCAGCGGCCCTGCTTTAGGCCAACCTTGTTTGGCTGGGCACTGACCCTCAAGGAGATGGGTAAGAAAAAAATGTTAAAAAGAAGTTCTTCAGAGAATAGAATAAAATAACATAGGTCAGAAACTCACGTCTACATAAAGATACGAAGAGAGTTAGAGAAGGAATAAAGGAGGGTAAAAGAAAATATTTTAATTTTTTCTTATGTGATCTAACAGATAGTTCAGAATAATAAAAGCAATGATATATTCAGTACTTATGCCTTACAAGTAGGTAAAATGAATGACCACAACGTTATAAGAAATAGGAATGGAGGAATTGGCGCTACCTGTGAATTGGTAGTGCACTATTTGAATGTGGACTTGGATTAGCTGTACATATATATTGCAAACTCTGGGGCATCCCCTCAAAAAAGTGAAAAATTAGGGCTTCCCCTGGTGGTGCAGCGGTAGAGCACTGGGCTGCTAGGCTACCAGCAGCCTCTGCAGTGCAGGTTCATTCCCCGGCCGCTGGTGAGGGTCCCACACACACAAAAAAAAGTGAAAAATTAACATAATTTTTAATATGCTAAAAATTAAAGAAAATGTAATCATATCAATTATTCAATTAAAACCAAAGAAGGGAACAAAAGCATGAAAGACAAAAAGAAGAACAAAAGCAACAAATAGATAATAGTAACAAATTTGGCAGATATCAATCCATCTACATCAATAAGTACTTTAAAAGGCAGTGATGTGAAGAAAAAGGACCCTCTCACACTGCTGGTGGGAACGTAGACGGGTCCAGTCCCTATGGAAAATGGAATGGAGTTTTCTCAAAATACAGCCATTCCATTCCTAACATACTTACCTGAAGAAGACAAAAACACCAGTTTGAAAGGAGGCCCGCACTCCCATGTTTATTGTAGCATTAAGTACAATAGCCAAGATATGGAAACAATCTAAATGCCCCAGGACAGTTGAGGGAATCAAGCAGATGAGGTATTTATACACAGTGGAATACTACTCACTGGTCAAAAAAGATAAACTCATGCCATTGGTGGCAACATGGATGGAGCTGGAAGAGAGTATGCTCAGTGAAATAAGCCAGAAGGAGAAAGATAAATACCACATGGTTTCACTTTATATGTGGAATCTAGAGAAACCAAACTAAGGATCAGACAAAGAGAAACTTTAAAAAACACTCTTGAAAACTGACCATAGATATGAAGCATCCAGGAGGGCAGGGGGAGGGGTGGAAAAGGGGAAGGGAGAATAAAGGGGGAGAGTAACACAATGTACTAGGGTGGAGGATTATGGATAATCTGGTAATGGAAGCACTCTGGTGACCACACCTGAGGAAAGAAATACTTTTTTTGTGAAAGAAATGAACAAAGATGTAAAATAATGACAGTTCAATATAGAAAAACAAGACCATATGTTGTTCATGAGAAACTGACCTTAAATATACAAATTAAAGTAAGAGGATGGAAAATACAAATGAAGAAAAAACTGGATTAGCTATATTCCTTTCAGAGAAGGCAAAACTAAAATCAAAGACATTATCAGGGATAAAGAAGGTCATTAGGGGCCGCCCTTGTGGCGCAAAGGGTTGGAACATGGCCTATGAGTCTGTCAGCTGCCACTGCAGCAAGAGTTCGATCCCCAGCCAGGAAGCAACCCACACGGTGCAGCAGACCTCTCTTGTCTCACCTGCTGCTCCCCTCAGCAGTGTATTTTGGTCAATCTGCCTGTTCTTTTCCCTGCTCTGTCTTTGGTGAATCCTCTCACCCCTCTGGCCTGTACCCCAGTTCTTGTATGCATTAATAAAGAAATCTTAAAAAAAGGGGCATTAAATCAATAACAAGATAAAGATAAATATATCGATAAAGGGCTAATTCTCTAAGAAGTTATAACAATTCTTAGTGTGCACGCACCCAAAAAACATAATGTCAAAATACATGAGGAAGCACTAGTGAGACAAATCCACTATTACAATTGGTTACTTCAGTACACCTCTCTCAGTAATTGACAAATGCAGTAGTCAGAAAATCAGCAACTACCTCTTGGGGTGTTTTCAACAATAGTATTATAGAGCTTTATGTGTATTGCTCAAAGTGTTCATAAGTTGAATTCATCTCTCTTAATGCTCTTTTTTTTCATTAAACACATTTACTAGAAAAATGTTCAGAACATCAAAACAACTCAAGGAGCTAGAGAAAGAATAGCATATTAAACACAAAGAAGTAGAAGGTAGGAAATAATGAAGATAAATGCAAAAGTGATGATTTAGATAACAGAAGAGCCAATTACTGAAAACCAATTCTCTGCAAGGATTTATATAATGGTTTTTATAAGTATTGCAATCACAAATGAAAGTAGCTAAAATAAGTCATAATAGATAAATAAAATTGTGCAAAACTTAGGTGTAGAAGGGATTGGGCAATTATAAGAGAACACTACAAATAAGCATTTACCAATATCTCAAGATAAAAAAAAAAAAAAAAAACAGTGGACAAAGAATAAGTATACCTAAAGAATTCCAGGTAATAAACTAAAAAGATTTTAGGATTAGAGAATTCTTGCCCTCCAGTTTTTAATGGGTTAATGGATAAAGATGCTGACCGCCAATGTCACCAGTAAGTAGGAAAAGACATCATAATATTTGAGTGGACGTGCAAATTGTTATCAACGACTTGCTAATAAACAAATAAACACACAAAATAAACACATAACTTAATATGAACAAGAATCTATATATAAAAATTGAGGATTGCTGGTGATGAATATCAGGTAATGGCTTATTTCCTGCACTGTTGTATAAGTTTTCAGAATCTTTATAATAAAGTCTTTATAATAAAAAATTGAGGGTTGCTGCTGATGAATATCTTCATCTTGACAATGAAAGGATTATATTTAAATATCACATTTTTAAATATGAAAATTCAAATAGATTTTTAGTAAAATATAGTGATTTTAGTGAAATGCTTTAGTGAAATACAAATGATTAAAAATTTCCATAAATAAAAATCTTTAATCACACAATATAAACTGAAACTATAGTCCAACCCAAGACACCATCAAAATGTTATGAGACTAGCCAGGTTTAGAAACCTGTTAATGAAATGGTGAAGCAAAAACTAATTACCATGACCTGTAAATTCTTCTAAACTATACAAAAAGATTGGGAGTTATTCAACCAGTCTACCAGGCTGCCTACCCTTGATACAAAGAGCAGAGGGGATAAAACAGCATCCACAGGGAGTCAAGGGAAGATTGAGAAAGAAGTGAAGAAGAATACACAGAAGACACACCAGAAACGAGCTTCCACCACTCCCCGGTCCCTGACTGAGGCTGGGGAAGACGCAAACGAGCTGGCTTAGAATCCCCAAATATTTTCCAGTGGGGTATCTCAGGGACATGTAATTATTGTCTAAGACCACATGACTGAGCTCAGCACACAGAAGAACGAGGCACTAAGAGTCAACGAAAGACCCTCTTGAAAGTCCTTCGTGATTCAACCTCAAGCACGCAGCCCCTTCACACTAGCCACGCCCCCTCCACCGCGGGTCATTCTGGGAGGCCCAGATGGTCCTGCCCGGAAGTGGGCCTCGACGACTTCCTGGTAAACGTGCTGAGGGACCTGAGGTCTCCTGAGACAGCTGTTGCCGGCAGTAATCTGAGGAAGAAGTCTGAAGACTTGCCAGGTGTGAACGTGTGATGTGTGCCGAGCGGGACAGCGAGCCCTTCCCCTCCAAACCCCAATCTCTTCCAGCCCCTCCCAAGGTGGCCAGGCGGACGCGCCCAGCGCCCCTGCTCGTGGCCCGGGAGGCCCCAAAATGGCTGCTAGGCCCCAAGTGGGTTTGCTTCCCAACGGGACCGTGGGGAATAAAGGCTTTGGTCCATGGCGGGGAGATTCTCAGGTCACTGGAGGGACATTCCCGGGCCCTGAGGAGTGACCTTCGCCTAGACAGCCCTCGTGACAACGGAGAGGGCGCCATAGGCCAGAACGGGGCCTCACGGGGTCGCGCTCCTGACGGAGGCCTGGGAGGGTCAGGGCAAATGTCTTCACTTGGTGCTGGCTCTCTCGGCCCTCCGCGAGTGTGTGGAGCCTGAGCTAGGGCAAGTGGTGGGTGGGGAAGAGGAAGGGGTGATGGGGGCCGAGAGGGGCTGGAGGCAATAAAGGATTGTGGGGAACGGCGGGAGGGAGGGTAAAGGAGGGGTGGGGAGCAGGGTTTGCGAAGGCGTGGAGACTGGGAAGCAGGGTTGTGTGTGGGACTTGGTCTGAGGGGAGGGGCAGGCAACTGGTCACCAGAGGCATGGTTTCTAGTTGGTGGGAAGAGTCGGGGTGAGGAGGTGGTCACTGCGGGAACCACTCACCCCTAACAAGAAGGACGCCTCAGAATCCCTAAACACTGTCATTCAGGGAGGTCCAGGCATTTGTGTCAGGCAAAACTGCTGCTCATTTCCCTTTGGGGTTCACAGAGAAGTGAGGGCTTTGGTCTGAGCGGCGGAGTTACACTTCAGCAGAGGGAAGAGTCTTAAATACACCCAGGGGTCAAAGAGAGCCTTGCCTGAGAACCTGCGCGAGCAGTCACAAAGGGGCCGGGGCTGGCTTGCCTGCTGCTGCTTTCCTTGGGGGAGAATCCAGGCGAATGCGGTCAGATAACACCAGACTCAATTCCTCCCGGAGCTCTCAGGTGGGGGCTCACCTTAGCAAGAGAAGATAGACCTCAAGCAAACGGGGGACACAGACTCTAGGAGACCCAAGGAGGGGGAAGTGAGTGAGGCCAGAGGGACTACCCAGGCCTGAACAGAGTTGACCAGCACATTGTGACCCGCCTGCTTCCAGCCCTTGATGGCCCAAGGCGGGTAGATCAGGTTGAGGCTCTTCTGGCTTCTGAATAGCAGGTGCCAGGGGCTGAGAGCCTTGGTGTGAAGGTGAAGCCAACAGAGAGCAGCAAGGAGGCCTGCCAGGCCTTCCCTGGAGGCCAGGTGAGGGTTGTGAATGACAAGGGAGCACTCCAACAAGTCTGGGACAGACATAAGTCAGATGTGGGTGCACTCTGCCGGGGCTGGTGGGCTGAAGCCGCTTCGGACTTCCTTCTCGTGTCATGGAAATGTGAAGTCTCCACGGCAGAGCAGGGAGGGGCCTGGGCGCCCAGGTCTTGCCAACAATGAACTTGACAATCCTGCCCATGAATTGAGAGGACACCCCACGCCAACAGAGGGGTTCCCGCTGGCAGGCTCTGCTGGCAACCCGGATACCTCCAGACAGCTGGGAGGCTGAACCCTGAGGCCACATAATCTGCCTCCACGGTTCAGTCGGACCTTGGAGAAGAAGAGCCTCATGGGGTTCTAGAGTAGTGCCCTCAGGTCCCCCCAGAAGCAGTCTTGTTCAAAGCCAAGGAGGCATCTGCTTGGTGGGGGGCGCTCACACCCTCTCATTCTCCCTCCTCCAGGTGGCCCCATCACTTACTCTGCCGCCCACACTGGTGCCTGCTCTCCCTGACCAGTGTCCTCATGCCTCGCGGTCAGAAGAGTAAGATCCGGGCCCGGGAGAAACGTCACCAGGCCCGGGAGGAGACTCAGAGTCTCAATGAGGCCCAGGCCGAGGCCCAGACCCCGGCCCAGGCCCAGGCTGCCTCAGCAGAGGAGGAGGAATCTTCTCCCCACTCCTCACCTGCTGCTGAATCTGAGGCTGCTCCCCCTGGCTCCCCTGCTGCTGATCCTCCCCAGGAGCCCAAGCAGGCCCAGGGTCCTCGCTGTCCCGATGCAGGGGCCTCGTGCCCGGGGGCCCACGAAGGTGCCCAGGGCCAAGAGGCGGCGAGCGGCAGCACCTCCCAGGCGGCAGCCGCCATGGAGACCTACCGCAAGGATCCCCTCACCAGGAAGGCCAGCATGCTGGTTCAGTTCCTGCTGCAGAAGTACAAAAGCAAGGAGCCCATCACTCAGGTAGCCTTGCTGAAGGTGGTCAAGAAGAAGTACAAGAAGCACTTCCCCGAGATCCTCAAGAGAGCTGCGGATCGCATGGACCTGGTGTTTGGCCTGGAGTTGAAGGAAGTCAACCCCAGCAACCCCTCCTACACGCTGGCCAGCAAGATGGCGATCCCCAGCGAAGAGGATTTGGTGGGGAGTGTGGGCTTGCCCAAGACGGGCTTCCTGTTGGCGCTCCTGGGCGTCATCTTCATGAAGGGCAACCGTGCCTCCGAGGAGCAGGTCTGGGATTTCCTCCATGTCCTGGGGGTGCACGCTGGCAGGAGGCACCTCATCTTTGGGGAGCCCCGCAGGTTCATCACCCAAGATCTGGTGAGAGATAAGTACCTGGAGTACCGCCAGGTGCCAGGCAGTGATCCCCCCACCTACGAGTTCCTGTGGGGTCCCAGGGCCCATGTGGAAACCACTAAAATGCAGGTGCTGAAGGTTCTAGCCAAGCTCAGCAATACCACCCCCAGTGCCTTCCCCGACCTGTACGAGGAGGCTCTGTTTGATGAGGCAGACAGGGCATGCATGCGATTCGCGGCCAGGGTTGGCACCACAGCCAAGGCTCGTGGGCCCTCTGGGGCCCAGCTCGCCAGCTCCCCCGGCACCTAGGGAGTCCTGGGGCAGCTTTTACACTCTGTGGTTGTTGAGAGCTGTCAGTGTTTTAGGTAATGGCAAGTAGTATGGCTTGGAGAGAGAAGATAATCTATTTTTCCCTGTTGTAATGAGTAACTTGTAGGTCTATTTTTTTAATAGTTCTTTTCTTTAATTTAAGGTTTATCTTGTTCATAATGTAAGTTGATTATTGTCATGGATGACACACTTCTTTCTGTTCATATTTAATCGTCAGAGTTTGTCCTTTGTAAGCAAAGTGAAAAATTTTAAATATTTTGCTGTACAAGGAGGTCACATGTTATTGGCACAGGTTTTTGTTTTTTGTTAAATGAGAACAAATCCCACAGGAAAATAGTTGGGACAATTCAGTGGCTGAACAAGGGTAAATACTGGTCATTTTTTCACTCGCCTTTTCTTATTATTCTTTGCTTATTAAAATAAATGATATATACTTGAATCAACTTGACTTATTTTTTCCTTTTATTTCTCTACCATTCGTTTGACATCTGCTTTTTGGCAGGCTACATCGGTATTACTGGGGATGATATGAAAATAATTCAAGTATGAAGTGAGAGCCATCAAATGCCCATTACCTGATCATCAGCATTGGGTCTTGGAAAGCGCCATTCCCTGGGTGGGTGGTAATTTAAGTCAGAAGGCTTGGTGGCCAGAGGATGTCATATAGGAGTGGTCTAGAGGGCCATGTCCTCAGATGTTGAATCTCAGAGTTGAGAGACTAAGTATGCCTGGAGTGGAGAACCAATCCTACTAGCTACTTGGTTTGTGGGAAAAGCAGAGAAAATCTCCATCTGAGTCGTGAATGGAAGGGGTCCTGTGAGCTTGCTCTGGGCACTTGAATATAGCGCACACAGTAAATGTTTGAGGCATGTCCAGAGAGTTTCTAAGAAGCAAAGGTGAGTGGTTCCTTGAAGTAGGATTTCAAGAATCTATTGAACTGTCACTCTTTTTTGTTTTGTTTTGTTTTGAATATTTATTTATGCATATAAGAACTGGGGTACAGGCCAGAGGTGCGGAGGGTGAGAGGATTCACCAGAGACAGAGTGGGGAACAGAACAGGCAGACTGACTGAAACACACTGCTGTGGGGAGCAGCGGGTGAGTCAGGAGAGGTCTGCTGAGCCATGTGGGTTGCTCCCTGGCCAGCTTGGGATTGAACTTGTGCTGCAGAGGCTGTGGATAGCTTCACAGTGCTGTGCTTAACCCCTTGTGCCACCAGAGAGGCCCAAACTGTCACTCTTTTCATGAGCAGAACTCATTCCATTAAAATGGCAATTTGATTAGATTATTTTGATCTAATTAAAGTAATGTGTGTCATTATTTGCCAAATTCTAAGGAAAGGCTCGATCCTTGGTGGTGATGAAATGGATGAAAGTAGGGGATGGTTTGGGTGGAAAGGAACCTGGGAAGAAGTTGCTAGTCCTTTGTGTTGCATGCAATGGGAGAAGACCACCCCACAGCTGTACTGACACAAATGCACTACTGGGAAATAGTACTCACTCTCACCTGCCCAGCAGGATATCAGCTGTAATGGAGTACTGTATTGTTTGGAGTCGCACAGTCTCTAATATTGGATGGAAATATATTTCTATGAGGGAACGTTGCTATCATCTGGGATCAAAGTGATCTTTAGTGCTACCAGCCATTCATTAAAGCACCAGACTTTGCCTGACGCTGTGCCAGGGAGTTCACATGTGTTACATATGTGTCTATAGTCCCGCATTGTAGACTTCATTAGGCTCACTTTGCTGCTAAAGTACTTGGGGTATTCTCATATTCAAGGCTGGTGCGTGACAGAGCTGGACTAGACCCTAGCTCCGAATTCCTATAGAGCCGGGTGCCACCAGTCCTCCAGTCGAGGGGCACACTTTGTGTGTGACTTTATTCATTTTCTAGGCTCATATTCCGAAATCTAAAATATTAAAAAGCAAGGCTTCAGGGCCTCCGTGGTGATGCAAGGGGTTAAGACACAACCTATGAAGCGATCCACAGCCACTGCAGCATAAGTTCGATTCCTGGCCAGGGAGCTACCTATATAGCACAGCAGACCTCTCCTGGCTCACCCGCTGCTCCTCTCAGCAGTGTATTTCAGTAACTCTGCCTGGTCTGTTCCCTACTCTGTCTCTGGTGAATCCTCTCACCTCCCGCACTTCAGGCCTGTACCCTAGTTCGTGTATGCATAAGTAAATAAATCTTTAAAAAAAAAAAAAAGGGCTTCAGACCCCCACATATTGTTTAGGAACATTTAGCTCAAGGAAAATGCAATAAAAACACCAAAATAATGCCAAGTATTGAATAAAGAAAGAGATGAAGGGATAGTGTTGGGCAACAATATCATAACCTACAAAGGAAATGTCAGTGAACCACAAAAGATCAAGTCCCTTCCTTGTAGAAAGTAAATCTATTAGAAGTCGGGGTTTATAAATGGCTAAGGCTTGCTGGCAAAGCAAAGGAAGTATTCGGGATTCGGGGTGTTTTCTTGGATAGCACGACTTGTGTCCTGGGCCCTGAGCTTTTGCTGCAGTTTCCCACCTTACTTCACCCCTGGGACTTGACTCTTTCTCTGAAAGGTTTGCAGTAGGGAGACTAATCAAGAGTTTGGAGGGATGTGGCCTTTCCCAGGAACCCTTTCATAGAAGAGGTGGGAGTTAGAATGAAGGCTGATGAATGAGGAGACAGCACCCTATAATAACTGGGGTCACAGAAAGGGTCAAGGCAGGGCCCTCACTTACACTTCTGGACATGAGAGTCTTGGTCCAAGGGCGCCCTGGGTCTGCTCTGAATGAGAGGAAACGGAACCCAGGGCCTGCCAGAAGTCCTGGTGAGGACCCTGGAACTGAGGGTACATCCCCACTGCGAACAGTAGGTCCCCAAGGATCCTCAGTCCGAATGTCATCCCCGCAGGACACTGGCAAGAAGCAGCCTCCTGTGGTGTTTCCCGACATCTCTCTGGGAACCTCATGGAATAAGTGCAGCTGGATCCCCCTTCCCCTTATTCTGTACATTGACCTTTTTGTTGGAAAATTTAAACTAAGTTAGAAAATTTAAACTAAGACCTCTCTCCCCGCCACCTCTTGTGATTCTTGTGATTTATTCTCTAACTACATTCCCTTGGGAACCATGAGAACTAATTATGTCACATCAACCAAAATTCTCTGTGCTCCCCCCCACCCCAGTGAGGTTGATAACAGCAGGGCAAGCATCTCTTGGGCATTATGGGCTCTTACCCACCAAGGAACACTCCGCTAGAGAAGATAAGACACCTTAACTCATGGTGGCTGCGCTGCCCAGCACCTCCTTGGACCTGGGAAAATGAAGCTTCTCACTCCCTTCATGTCCCCCACCTCCTCACATTCCTTTCCCTCCCCCAAGCCCCAGATAATCACAACACCCCTGCCATTCTGGGAACTTAATTTTTTCAGGGTATTAGCCCTAACTCCTTGGGGCCACCTCCAATGTAATAAACTCCTTTATGAAATGACTTTCTGGTGATTCAGAGTGTGGTTTCCTGGGTGGCAAGTGAAAGACTTGGTTTGCTTAACATGGGCTATGGTCTGTGTTTCTGCAGAGAAAGACATCCCAGCCCTGCCAGGGAACATGGGCAGAACAGAGTGTCAACTGAGGGGATCAGGGACCCCAGAACCATGCAGTGGCACAGAGATTGTTCCTACTATCAGCCCTTAGATCTTTGGGTAGGGCTGTCAGCGATGTTGCAGAAAGGGAGTTACACATGTGAGGCCCTCAGTGTGTGTGGGGGGCCACTCAAGTGAACAAAAGAAAGAATCCTAGGCCCTGCCAGAAAGCAAGTTAAGGACCTTGAGTGAGGACATAGGAAACCTTCTACCCTCAGACCTCAGAAGGCCCCTCAGAGCCCCACCCTTGCTGGTGGCCTAGGACACCAGGGCATTGTTGACAGGATGTGACATACTCAGCTTCTCCTATCGTGTCATAAGGGGTGAGGTACTTAGTCCAAGGCATATGCCTAAGGGCAGCAGTAGGAGGTGAAGGTGAATACCCTGAGGACCAAAGGTAACACATTCCCCTTAACATTGGGAGCACCATAGAATTAACTCCTCACCCTGGGCCTCAGAAGACCAAGGAAAGATATGGTTGATGAGAAGATTCTCACTTCTGGGGAGGTTTTCAGGGTGGTGCTGTCTTTCATATGGGGGACAAACCTGAGGGGGAGGGAGGGAGGAATTTCCAGACCACAACAGGGGTGAAGTCAAGGACTTAGAGACTATCCACCATTAAATAGAAAGGATAACAATAATTCCAGCCCTGCCCCTGTTTCAGTTCTAAGGACCTGGGTCAGGGCTATCAGGCTGACGTTCACCCAACACTAATTTAAATTACGAGGTCTATGGGAGGTGAAATCCCAGGGTACTAGGCCCTATGTGAAGCCAAAGTAAGGCCATTTAATGAGGTTTGAGAACGCAAAGAAGCCAGGACAGAAGACTCCCCACTGAGCAGTCAGCACAGGGATGATATGCTGAGGACCTTGGTCCTCATGGTTCCCAAGGAGGTTTGTGATGTCAGCTTCAGAGCATCAGAGGAAAGGGGTCTCCCCATCTGCCACCAGTTGACCTTATGATCCATGAATGTGAAGTAAGAGAACTTCCTCAGCCTAGAAGACTACCAGTCGCTGTTACCACATCTGTCTGAGGCAGGGCTGGCAGGAGGCAGCCTAGAACCCACACTAGCTTCCATCACAGGTTTCCCAAGAGAGCTAATCCCAAGGATCAGGAGACAGAGGTCCTGTGGGTTCCTAGAGCAGTGCCCTCAAGGGAAATGCCTTGCAGTCCAGGTGGTATTTCCATGCTGAGAATGCTCACACCATTTCAACCTTCCTCTCCAGGGCTTCTCAGCAGCTGTCCTGCCACTAACATTCCTGACCACTGTCCCTGACCATAGTCGTCATGCCTCGTGGTCTGAAAAGCAAGTCGCGCACCCATAGGAAACGCCACCAGATGCGGGCTACCTCTGATAATCACCAAGGAGTTCAGGCCACAGCAGAGGCGGCTCCTTCCACCTCTTCTGACCTGGAGGCTATTCCCCAGATAGCACCAGCTACCGGGCCCATTAGCACTTCCGAGGAGGCTCCCACAGATACTTCTGGCATAACATCTAATGAAGAAAACAACCAAGATGAGACTCATCCATATGCCCCTGAGCTCTCAAATACTGAGATGTCATTCGGCGATGTTCTGACTATGCAGACGGCAATGCTGGAGCAGTTCCTCCTGTACAAGTACAAAATGAAACAACCCATCAAGAAGGAAGATATACTGAAGATTGTCAACCCAAGGTACTTTTCCGAGATCCTTAAGAGAGCTGCTGAGCGCATTGAGGTGGTCTTTGCAGTTGACTTAAAGGAAATTGACCCCACCCTTCACTTATATGACCTTGTCAGCAAACTGAAACTCCCTAACAACGGGAGGGTGCGAGCGGGCAGGGGGCTACCCAAGACCGGCCTCTTAATGACGATCCTAGGTTTCATCTTCATGAAGGGGAACCGTGCGTCTGAAGACGACGTTTGGAAATTCCTGAATAAGATGCGAATCTATGCTGGCAGGAAACACCTAGTTTATGGAGAGCCTAGGAAGCTAATCACGAAAGATCTGGTGAAACTGAAGTACCTGGAATACCGTCAGATACCCAATAGTGACCCCGCTCAGTACGAATTTCTGTGGGGCCCGCGAACCTATGCTGAAACGAGCAAGTTGAAGGTCTTAGAATTTTTAGCGAAAGTCAACGAGACCGATCCTAGCACCTTCACAGAACAATACGAAGAAGCTTTACGGGAGGAACAAGAAAGAGTTCAAACTGGAGCTGCAGCTGTGCCTGGTGGTAGCGCCATGGCCAATGATGTCCTGGGAGCACCCAGCAGCGTCTCCCGCCCCTATTGATATTGAAGCTTGTGAAGACATCACAATAGGGATTTGAGTGGGAACTTGAAAAAATCCCACAGTACAATTTTTGAGCTGATGGAAAAGAAAAAAATAAATCATGCTCAAACTTGATTCTTCTTAGTCCTTGCAGTCTTTTGTTTTGTAAAATTAAACGATAAACTTATTAAACAATGTAGGGGATGTTAACAAGTTAGACAACTAACCACTTTCTGTTTTATTTTCCCTAACATCAACAGAGCATCTGCTCCTTGGAAGGCCCAGTACTAGTACTGGAGATGCAAAGAGAACACCATAGAACTTTAGAAAGTAGGAGCTGCAATTATATAAAGTTACTGAGATACCTTCTATGATTTATAGGCAAGGAAGAAGAATGGGTGGACAGGGAGGTGTTCCAGGGGAGAGCAGTAAAGTGTAAATTCCTTGAGATGGGGAAGTTTAAGTTTGAAGAAACTGAAAGTCAATATGGGTGATGTCATTTAAAATTATGTGGGGAACTAGCTGAGGCCCTAAGGCTGGTGAGCAGAGTCCAGATCCTCACATGATATGCCTTGGAATTAAGAGAGAAAATCTTTAAATGGAAAACTGCACTACGGGGTAAGGTCTGAAATGAAGGCCCATTACAAGCTGTCTCCATATTTGGTGAAACCAGCAGGGCCTCAAATTGCCTAACTGCGAGTCTCCCTCCATACTTTGTACTTCCAGATAAGGTCCCCTAGCAAGCAACAGTCTTTGTCAAGGGCACAGATGTTAGCATGCCTAGGTAGCAGGTTTCTGGCCCCTACCAGCCTGCAGCATTATTCATGCAAGTCGATCACATATTGCCATAGGAACTAGGGGTCTGTATCCTCTGGGTACTACAAAGCCTTCCTCCTATAGAACCTGCATATTTATATTTACTCTGTTCCCGAGGGCCATCCCCATGTTGCATGGTGTGGCTGTGGCATCATTCTCCCCTTGGCCTGTGGGTATACATAATTAATAATACTGTTAACAGGGTGGTTTTATGTGTGGACACCCCATAACCATGGTGTGGAAATTCCATCTTCACTTCTTGGGGTAAAAAGGAAGCCAGTAAAACATGCTTTTTGGTACAATGGACTATGACGGAGGACTATGGGTACTTTGTTAGTGGGTGTGGTGTGGTAGCCAACATCTGAAGCCGAGTGAATCACAGTGTTGTAAACCAATGTTATCTCAATTTAAAAAAAAAAATCAGTAGACAACAACAATAACCAAAAATAAGCAAAAATAAAACAAAATAAAATAAAATACACTCTGGGAATTACCTTGGGATCATAGATAATCCAGAAAGAAGTCTCTACTTAGGGAAGTGGATTAATATGTTTGGACTTCTATAACAAAATGTCATCGACTAGGGGCTTAAACCAAAATTTATTTTCTCAGACCTCCCCAGTGGTGCAGCAGTTGTGCGCTGGGTTGCGAAGCTGCCTGCAGCCTCTGCAGCTCTGGTTCGATCCCTGACCACCAGGCAAGGGTCCCACATGGCATGCAGACCTCTCCTGCCAACCGCTGCTCCCCTCAGTAGTGTGCTTCGTCATTCTGTTTGCTCTGTTCTCCCCTCTGACTCTGGTGAATTCTCTCACCCTCCCATGCTTCTGACTGTACCCAATGCTTGTATAAATGAATAAATAAATAAAATATTAAAAAAAATATTTTCTCACAGTTCTAGAATCTGGGAGTGTAAGATCAAGGAGCTGGCATGTTTGATTCCACTCTCCTTGGCTTGGAGGTGGCCTCCTCCCTTGGTGGCTTTTTGAGTGCCTTATCCATGTGTCTCCTTGTTTGCCATAGTCTTTTTTTAAAAGATAACAAACTTGCAAGCTGATCATAGACATGAGGCATACAGCAGGGGAGGGACAGGGATCAAAAAAGGGGAGGGAAGAGCACAGGGACTGTGGTGATGGATCATGGGTGCTGTGGTGGTGGGAGAACTATGGGGACTACATCTGAGAGGACATATCAAATATGATCCAAAAAATAACAATGATGTAAGAAAGTAAATACATTTTTAAAAACAAAAAGGGGGGGGTCCCTAGTGGTGCCAATGGGTTAAGACACAACCTACGAAGCTATCCGCAGCCACTGCAGCACAAGTTTGATCCCCGGCCAGGGAGCAACCTACTTGGCGTGGCAGACCTCTCCTGTCTTGCCCGCTGCTCCCCTCAGCAGTGTATTTCATCAGTCTGCCTGTTCTGTTCCCCACTCTGTCTCTGGTGAATCCTCTCACCCTCCCGCACCTCTGGCCTTACCCTGGTTCTTGTATAAATAAATAAATCTAGACCACTACCTCTCACCATGCACAAAAATCAACTCAAAATGGATAAAAGAACTGGACATAAGACCTGAAACCATAAAATATATTGAAGAAAATATAGGTAAAACACTGTAAGACATACATCTCAGAAACATCTTTAAAGACTCATCACCCAAAGCAGTGATAGTGAAGGCAAAGATAAACACCTGGGACTACATCAAACTGAAAGCTTCTGTACAACAAAAGAGACATTAACCAAAACAGAGACACCCCACTGATTGGGAAAAAATATTTGCACTCCATCCAACTGATAAGGGACTGATTACAAAGATTTACAAAGAACTCACACGGCTCAACAAAAACAAAATAAACAATCCAGTCAAGAAACGGGCAGAAGAGGGTCTCCCCTGGCGGCACAGGCACTTGAGCGCAGCGTTGTGAAGCTGTGCACAGCCTCTGCAGTGCTGGTTTGATTCCGGCCAGCCGGCGAGGGTCCCACATGGCATGGCAGACCTCTCCTGTCTCGCCCATTGCTCCCCTCAGCAGTGTATTTCATCAGTCTGCCTGTTCTGTTCCCCGCTTTGTCTCTGGTGAATCCTCTCACCCTCCCGGGCATCTGGCCTGTACCCCAGTTCTTGTATAAATAAAAAAATAAATCTTTAAAAAAAAAAAAAGAAATGGGCAGAATTTAAAAGACATTTCTCCAAAGAGGAAATGCAAATGGCCAACAGGCATATGAAAAAATGTTCAACATCCCTTATAAAAAGGGAAATGCAAATCAAAACCTCACTGAGATACCATCTTACACCAGTGAGAATGGCACATATCAAAAAAACAAGCAACAACAAATGTTGGCGAGGATGTGGTGAAAAAGGAATGCTTCTACATTGCTGGTGGGAGTGCAAACTGGTCCAACCACTATGGAAAACTGTCTGGAGGTTCCTTAGTCTACTAAAAATGAAGCTACCATATGACCTGGCCATTTCACTACTAGGGATCTACCCAGAGGACACAAAAACATTGATTCAAAAGAACACCTGTACCCCTATGTTTATTGTAGCACTATTTACAATAGGTAAGGTCTGGAAACAACCCAAATGCCCCAAAATAGATGACTGGATCAAGACGATGTGGTATATACACAATGGAATATTATTCAACAATCAAAAAAGATAAACTCAAGCCATTCACAGCAACATGGATGGAGCTAGAAGGAATTATGCTCAGTGAAATAAGCCAAAAGGAAAAAGAAAAATATCGGATGATTTCACTTATAACAGGAATATAGGGGAACCAAATAAGACATCAGTGTAAAAAATTAATAACAGTACAAAACACAACAAAGCAAAAATGGAAAATAGGGGTGATTTGGTCCTTGACAAAATTCTAGAATCTCTGATTTACAACCAGGTGGAGAAAAAATACACACCAAAATTAAATAATAAATATGCTAGGAGGGAAATGCTCTTTAATTTGACTTGCTAAAGGAAACTTTGGTCTGATTTGGGTTCTTTCATTTGGGGACAATGCATTTCCCTGACATACCTTGAATTAAAAAAGAAAAAAAAAAAACAACAAAACCCAACAACTCTTAGATAGCAGGTTAATTTTGTCTGGGTAAAAATCATCATAACTGTTATTCATTAAATACCAGATATTTGTCAATCATCTTGATAGGCGCTTGATATACACTATAAACATTCCACAGTACTGCAAGATGGGGTTTATCGAACTCAGGTGGCAGATGAAGAACCTGCAGTATTTTCCTATTCACAAGGTGGTGAGTGAAGAGCTAAACCAGAACCCTGGGCTGCAGTCCTCTGGGACGGCTCTAACACCCTGGAACAGAGCATGTATATTTTTATTCACTTTTACTCTCACTACTCCAATCTCAGGGAATATAAAAGATAAAGGGAGATTTTGTGTCCAAGTACTGGACTGGAATACACAGCCAGAGCTGCAAGGACACCCTAATCAAGCAGAGGTATGAGCAACAGAAGGAAGCCTACCCAACTGGCAACAACATGATCATCTGCTTATGCAGTATCAGTTATTAAAAAAAGAAAACAAGATGGGATCTCACAGAATTATCTGGCTCAGTCCATTTCTGTAGTAAGCAAATGGTTTTGGGACAGAAGTTACAAAAGAGGAGACGTCTAAGTGGTAAAGAGAAGAGTAGAGGGCCACGGGTTTTTGGGTTCTCTGAAGCCTACCTTTCGTCCTGAGTCCTCTGCCTCTTTCTTCAGTGTCCCCATCCCACATCGCTCATGGGGCACAGGTCCGTTCTCTGCAAGATCTGCAGAGAACAGTTGTTCAAAAGTTGCTTCCCTTCCCAGGAAGCCTCCCATTAAAGAGAATCAAACATTGTAGTAAAAATGAACGATGATGTAAAAAATATATATAAATAAATATTTTTAAAAAATAGACAGCGGCCCGGAGGCGAGCAACACCCAGTCAATCTAACAGGGCGTCTTGCAGATGTCACCATACCTGTTCTTCGACCTGCAAGGTCAGGGTCAGGCTGACTTCTGCAAGGAAGATCGAAGAGGTGAGGGACTTGTGACGTGGGGGGCAAAGGGCCATATTCAAGGTCATAAATGGAGTCTGACTGAGAATCTCTTTGGAAACCAGAGTACCCTCCAACCAGGAACAGAGGGGGCGCCAGAAACCCCGCCCCCACAAGCGACCTTGAGAGCTCCAGCTTAGCTCTGCCACAAGGAGGAGCACTCGCTTTCTTCTTGGGGCGTCTTTGTCTGGAGGAGGTGAGAGATTTCGCCTGAGGCGTGCGGCCTGAGGGCAGGCCAGTGAGGCGTCTCACACCCGGTCGGAGTCCAGGTGAGCAACTGAAGGAAGCGACAAGAGAGCCGCCCAGCCCCAAAAGTGCAAGAGTTGCATTGCTTCCCTCAGCTTCTCTCCCTGCTCCCCTTTATGTTTGCGCCTACTCCGCCATTTGCTCGCCCTTCCCCCACCGCCACATGGCCCTTTCTCCATCCCAGTTCTCCCCTTTCTCTGTCCTAGTGGCCACTGGGCAGAGCAGTCGGGCCCCAATTTGAGGGAGGTGAGGGATTAGTTTAATAGAGGGCGGCGACAAAGACCCTAAGAAGAGTTAAAGGGGTTGGGGGGAAGACTTAGGCGGAAGGCTCCGCCAAGGCCAGGCGCACAGTTCCCACAGAGGGCTCAAGCATGGCGGCGAGGTGGCTGTGAGCCTGCCTTTCCTATTCCATCTGCTCTTTCCTAGTTCATCTGCTCAGTAAGGGGGGGGGGGGCTTCACCTGAGGGGAAAGGTACTGTGCTGGGGGGGAAATCAAGGCTCAGACTGTGAGTTGGTTTGTGAGGACAATGGACTCCAGACTAGTGAGGTGTTGCCAAACTTGCGGCAGTGGTCAAACCTGGGAAGGCTAACAGGCATAGGTCAGCTGGGGGGAGGGGAACGGAGGGGGTATGGTGGAGGAGGTATGGTGGAGGGGGTGAAGGGGGGGAGCTCAGGAATGTGAGGAAAGTATTAGCAAAGGAAAGCCCGCCGGCCGCCAAGGGCAGTGAGGCTAAGGACTCTGTGGCAACCGAGGGAGTCGCCACCCTACTGGTATCCTAGGATGTCTCTGTGCTGGTGACTTGACTCATGCTCATTTTCTCCTGTGGTGTCACAGGGGAGGAGGGTGTGAGAGAGTTCGTTTAAAGGGTTACTATCTGCACAGGCGAAATTCCAGATCTTTCCAAGAACTAAGGTGCAGATCTTGATGTCTGAGGAAAGAGGATGCAAAAGAATTCATCCTGCATTCTCAGCCTTGGGAGACCAGGGGCAGGTGGGCAGGTGGGGCAACCCTCATATCCTAGGGAGGTCTCAGGAAAAGCTGACAGAAAGAGAGGAGCCTTCAGCTATACTAGAAGGTCAAAGGAAAGATTGAGGGGACCACCCACCCCCCATTAAATAGATAACAAAAAATCTGAGCCCCACCTTTTCAGTCAGAGGTTGAAAGCTCAGGGCTGGGGTATCAGGCTGAGACTCATGCTTACTTATTGACATCAAATGTAGAGACACCTTTAATGTGAATCTACAGCTACCAGTTAGCAGAAGGGAGGTGCCCCAGGCTCTATCTGGAAATTAAGTACCCTGAATGAAAACTGGGGTCCAAGCAGCCCATGAAGGAGGAGGCTCCACATAGCTCTAAGTTGGATAGGGGCGAAGGAAACCTTACTTTGGGTTTTCCTCTGAGGTCTCAGGGAGGTGCTGACTTTGGTTTGAAGCGTGAACACCAGAGCAGCAGAAGGGAGGGGTCCCCGAACCTCACATAGTGAACATGACAATCATGATTGTGAACTGAAAAGACCACCACACCCCAGAATAGAGGCTCCGCACAGGCAGCCCCTGCTGTCACCTCAGTATACCCCAGGCCGGGCTGGCAGGCTGCACACCAGGGTTCCCTTGAACTTTCTCCACAGGAGGAAGTTCAGTGGACAGACAAGAGAACAGGAGCCCTGTGGGGTGCTAAAGCAGCACCCTCTGGGACCCCCACAGGTGGCCTTGGTTAAAACCAAGGAGGCATCGTCCCGATGGGGGTGCTCACACCCTCTCATTCTCCTTCCTCCAGGTGTCCCCGTCACCTACTCTGCTGCCCACAGTGGGGCCTGCTGTCCCTGAACAGGGTCATCATGCCTCGCGGGTCAAAGAGCAAGCTCCATGCCTCTGAGAAACGCCGCCAGGCCCGAGCGAAAATTCGGGCTTGCGGGGCTGGTCAGGCCAATGCAGCAGATGAAAAGGTGGCCAGTCCGACCTCCTCTCCTTCTCATGAAGGTGCTACTCAGAGTGAGCCTGCTGCCGGGTCAAGAAGCATGTCCCGGGGCCGTCAGAGAAAACCAACCACCACCATTAATTCTCGGGGTCGGTTGGCTATTCGCCCAAGTGGCATTTCCCAGGGGCGTCAGAGAACCCCATCCACCACCTCTAGTTCTGCAAGCACTTCTCCTGAGAGATCCAATGAAGGTGCTCACAGTCAACATGAGCATATGGGCTACAACTTCGGCGTGCCAGGGCCCGAGGTTATCATGAGGAAGGCCTGCTTGCTGGAGCAGTTCCTGCTGTACAAGTATAAGATGAAGCAGCCCATCAAGAAGGAAGACATGCTGAAGGTTATCAACCCAGTGTTCCAAGATCACTTCACTGAGATTCTCAAGAAAGCCTCTGAGCGCATCGAGATGGTGTTTGCCGCGGAGGTGAAGGAAGTCGATTCGGTGAATTATTCCTATGATCTTGTCAGCAAGTTGAAGCTCCCCAACAATGGAAGAGTGCGTGCTGGCCGGGGGCTACCCAAGACCGGTCTCCTGATGAATATCCTGGGTATGATCTGCATGAAGGGCAACTGTGCCAAGGAGGAAGACATCTGGCAGTTCCTGGCTATGATGCACGTATATGCCGGGAGGAAGCACTTCATCTACGGTGAGCCCAGGAAGCTCATCACCAAAGATTTGGTGAGGCTGAAGTATCTAGAGTACCGCCAGGTGGCCAACAGCGATCCCCCCTGCTTTGAGTTCCTGTGGGGTCCAAAAGCCCATGCTGAAACCAGCAAGATGCAAGTCCTTAAGTTTTTGGCCAAGGTCAATGAAACCTCCCCTAGCACTTTCCGAGCCCTCTATGAAGAAGCTTTGAAAGATGAGAAAGAGAAAGCCTTAGCAGTAGATGTAGCCAGTGCTGGCACTATTGCCAAAGCCAGTGCCCCACCCAGGGCCAGTATACCTAGAAGTATCTTCCCATCCTTGTGAAAGTGTGGGGTGGTGGTGGTTGTTTTTGTTGTTGTTGTTTATCAATAGGGAGTGTATACTTGGAATTGTGAAAGAGTTTCCTAGTAAAAGTGTTGGGAGTATGGAATAGGAAAAAAAAAACAAACACATCAATGTTGGTTTTACCTGTGCCTTTTTGTCTTTAGCTTTGTAAACTTTAACGACTTGCACTTTGAGTTTCTTTGCTTATTCAAGAGTGTTGGAGAAATTGAATCTTATTAAACTGGCTTTTCTTCACCACATTTTGAGTGTCCTTTGGAAGGTTAAGTGTTAGTACTGGGAATGATAACATCAAGACATTTCAGTCTGTACTAAGAACTTCAAACCGTGAACTCATAGAGGTAAAATGTTAAACAGCCTCTGTGAACTAGAGGTACAGTAAAAAGAATGGGTGAGCAACAGTGAAATAAGTCAGAAGGGAAAAGAAAAATATCGGATGGTGTCACTTATAGCAGGAATATAGGGGAACCAAATAAGACATCAGTGTAAAAAAAAGTAACAGTACAAAACACAACAAAGCAAAAACAGACAATTACAAAGCAGAGACATCCTGCAGGGAGGAGGAGGGAGAGGGATCAGAGGGAGGGAGGGAGGAGCACAGGGGACTGAGGTGATGGTGCACGGGTGCCTTGGGGAAGGAAACTCTATGGGGACTACACCTGAGGGGGTGGGGGGAAGCAAATACTGTTTTAAAATGAACAATGATGTAAAAATAAAATATTAAAGAAAAGAAAAAAAAAAGAATGGGTGAGCAAGAGGGCAGTTCTTATGAGTGCAGTTCTGTGGAAATTTCCCAAGCATAGCCATTTGGGACTACAGGGAACTGCAAGTCTTCAGTGAGATTTTTTTTTTAATTTTTTAAAAAGATTTATTTGTTTATACAAGCATTGGTTATAGTCAGAAGTGCAGGAGGGTGAGAGGATTCACCAGAGCCAGAGCAGGGAGCAGAACAGGCAGACTGACGAAGTACACTGCTGAGGGGAGCAGAGGATGCAGCAGGAGATGTCTGTGCGCCATGTGGGACCCTCGCCGGGGGCAGGGGATCGAACCGGCGCTGCAGAGGCTGCGGGCAGCTTCGCAGCCCAGGGCTCAACCTCTGAGCCACTAGGGGAGGCCCAGGATTTAATTTTCACTTAGGCTGTGTGGTGGGCTGGTGAGTCTGTAGAAGTGATTCGTAGCGGTCACACCCTCCCATCGTGTGCCTCAGAGACGAGAGACTAAAGCCTGTGTCAGCTCAGACTGCTGTAGGGGAAGACCATAGGTGAGTGGCAGAAACATTTGTTCTTCAGTTATGGAGGCTGCACAGTGGATTCAGTTACTGCCAAGAACTCTCTTCTTGCTTGCAGATGCCCACCTTCTCTCTGAGTTCTCATGTGGCAGAGAGTTCTGGACTCTCTTGATCTTATAAGAACACTACTCGCATCATGAAGGCCCGATCCTCATGACCTCATCTAAATCTAATTACCTCCCAGATGCCCTATCTTCAAATACTGTCAAATTGGGGGTTAGGGCTTCAACATATAAACAAGGGTGGGGGGGGCACAAAACAGAAAACTGCTGCTATGAGTTACTTTGGGATTGTGAGTAAAACAGATGCCCACCTGTGGCAGGAAAGGAACCTTTGCTCTTGTCCCATGCAGGTAACACCGTACAAATTAGGTGGTCTATACACATCAGCCTTTGGGAATTTCTGACAAATAAGGATGATATTCACTTGAGGTGAGATGCCAAGAAGCCGCTGGGCTGGCACTCTGCCTCAAGTTTGGAGCCAGGGCCTGCTCCATTAAAAGAACATTTTATTGAGGGTTTCACGAATGTGATCTGCCAAATTCTAAGTGAGGGCTAGCTTTTGTTGAGGGTGTAATAAATGCCAACAGGGGTGGTGGTTTGGATGGAAGGGCACCCGGGAGGATGGAAGGACTTAGACATGATCACAAATTCTAGGAATTTCAGTTGCCTCCAACAGGACGACAACGCCACACCTGAATTAAATGACAAGTGCTCTAATGGGGAAAGTTTGCCTTGTTCTACTAGCTAGGAAGACTTGTTAGATGATTTGATGTTCTTTGTCGGAGAACACTGCATATTCTCTGATATTTCTTAGATTAAAAAAAAAAATCCAGGGAGGTAGGTGGGATCATCTGGGATCAAAATAATAATAATTGCCATTCATTAAATATTGGATAATATTTGCTAGTCATGCTGCCATGTGGTTTATATATAGTACATTTTAACAATCCTACATGATAGGGCTTACTGAACTCACTTGACAGCTGAAGAACTTGTCATTTTCTCAAGTTCACAATATTTTTAATAGCAGAGCTGAGACTAGATCCTTGGTCTGAATTTGTCTAAAGGTCACTGTTCCACTTTTCCCAGCCTGGGACAGACCTCTGTCTCTTAATTCACTTTTCTTCTTACTGTCCAAAATGTATCCCAGGCAATAGAAAGACACTTGTTGCCAAAGTACTAAAAGCAGGCCTACTGAAGGGGAAGTAATGAAATTTGGGATGAAAATGAAATTTGGGAATATGGAGGGGCTGTGGTCACATACATCTGAAGGGGTGTGATCCAATATCCCTGAATCACATCCAGTGTTATAAACCAATGTTACCTCAACAAACAAACAAACAAATGAATAAAAGCAAATGCACAACCAAAAGAAGGGGGCTTGTGGGGAGAATTATCCTAGGGTTTCATTTTCCTAGGATCCCACTGAGAACTAAATCTGTTGAAGAACTACTTGGTAAGTATTTGCCCAGCTCCAGCTCTTTCAATCATCACAGCACCTTTGCCCAGGATCCCCTGGAATGCCCTCTTCCAGCCCTGGAAGCAGACCTGCTGACCAGCTATTCACTGTGCTCCTCTGAGGATGGCACAGGCCTGTCAGTTCAGCAGACACCTCCTTCTGGCCCAGAAGCAGCCAGGGTGGCTCATCAGGGCTGACCTATGACTGATCTGTGGGTTTCTAATCCCCCAAGTAATCTGAAGAAATACACACTTCCCACAATGATGCCTTGCTCCCTGCTAATGCTACTCACCCTTACACCAACCCTGGACAGTCAATTTCGGTTTTCCTAGCAGTTCCTTGACCGAAAACAAACATGAAAACTCCAACCTATTTCAAAATATTTTAAAAGAATATTTTTGTAGTAAACTAGAAATTGTCACCAGAAAAATATTATTGTCGGACTGAAGGAAAACAAAATACGTACAGTGAACTCTAACGGGAGTCCCAGGAGAATTAATATGTACAATTGCTTTCTCTGCATGAAAACCAGTTTGTGAAAATTGAAATTTAAACCACAATGCTAAAATACTGCATGGGTCCAAGCCACCTGCTATCCATGAATATAATACTGTGCTTAAAGTAATATTTGGAAATTTAAAAGTTTGGCATATAAGTATTGTCAGGGTAGTTCCCATTATGGTAAGATTATTTTTTAAAGTTAAATGTGACTACTTCATGATATGATCCAGTGGTGTATAAAATTTCTTTTAGAGAAACAAAATATGTCTTTGGACCAATGCATAAAACAAAAGCTAAAATTTTCTTCATTGCCTACCACTCATGTGATCATACTTATTAAATAGTCCTTCCAATTCTCAAACTACTGTTTTTAGCTTTTGCAAATGAGGAGTTATTCATTTTGCAAATAAGAATTATTCAGTTTTTTGAATTGCATTTTGTCTAGCATGAATTTTTATATGTATGGGGGGATTTAATTAATTGCAGCAAAATGAGAAAAGTAAATTTCTTAACAAAATCTTTAAAATGATTGGCCATACTACTCTTTAGAAAACAAAGTCATTGCATTATATATCTTGTGCATTACATAACTTACTATTTTTGTCAGACTGTTCAAGAGTGCACATTTTATTCATGTATATTAAAATGATTATATTTGCCTGTGGTTGAATCAAACTTTTTACCTTAATATTTAACCTGAAAATAAAAAGTATCAAATGACTAACATAATAAAAGAAAGGATCATTTATGAACTTTTATTTTGTATTGACTTTGTTAGGATATCATGAAAACAATAGATACCACAAATCAGAATTCCATTAAATTATTTTGTACAGTAACTGACAATGGTGCTAACATATTTTAATATGCTGATACTTAATTTGAACAATCAAAGGTATATTAAGTGATATAAATTCCCTTTTGAAGGATATGTGTATTCTGAGTATTCAGTATATTAATATGATTCAATATTCAATAAATGTTTGAAAATGAGGGAAATCAATTATTTAATAGCATTGCACATGCATTATTTGTATTGAATCATATTTTCTTGGAAATTGGTTATTCCTGTATGAGATTTATGTTAACTCTTTTAACCAGAATATCCACATTATCACATCACATTATCTTTCCAAGGTAGACAACAGGAAAAAAACTATGTAGGGCAAGTGAATTCATTTAAAGTTTTGCAAGAGGGCCTCCCCGGTGGCGCAGTGGTTGAGCGCTGGGCTGCGAAGGTGCCCACAGCCTCTGCAGCACTGGTTCAATCGCTGGCCACTGGCAAGGGTCCCACATGGCATGCAGACCTCTCCTGCCATGCCCGCTGCTCCCCTCAGCAGTGTACTTTGTCTGTCTGCCTGTTCTGCTCCCTGCTCTGGCTCTGGTGAATTCTCTCACCCTCCTGTGCTGCTGACTGTACCCAGTGCTTGTATTAAATAAATAAATAAATAAATCTTAAAAAAAATAAAAATAAAGTTTTGCAAGAGAGATCCAGAGAATGTAAGAAGCGAAAGGGTCTATAAAGTTACAAAAAAGTGGTTTTACTTCAAATCCCTTCTTTTGAATTGTGTTCTATAAAATAAGGCTATATGGTAATGACAAAAATCCCATTTAAAAGCAAAGGGAAAAATAATCATTCAGAAATTATATTTCTAGACTGTGAGGTCAGTGTTTGAGGTTACAAAACTGTAAAAAAAAAATCTCAATGTGAGACAAAAGCAATGGCTATTTATATCAATTCCACCCCTTTGTTTGGAATATCTAGTTCTGAGATATTCAGAGAGAGTTCTAGAAGCTGATAGGTATTATTTCTTTCTTTGCTCTTTTAAAGTATACTTGTTAAAACACAAATTTCATCAGATAATTCATTTTGTTATACTGTTTTAAAAGCTTTGTTGCTGTTATTGGAAATAGTGTTTAATTACTAATTATTCTATAAATTGCCCAGGCAGTTAAACAGACATCTGTTCCATATAAA